CTGTTCTAAAGATGGTAAGAGTGAATCATGACCAATACCCAGGTCCTTACAGGTTGAATCATCACCAGCAGAACCAAATAATGTTGTAGATGATGCAAGAGCTGCATGCCTTGCTTCCGTAGGAACCTGCCATTTGCCTCTCAAACAACTTTCACTAATTCCAGTAACTCTCCAGAAATTTATGGCCAGTTTATGCATAATATCAAGCTCAGTAGATGCATTGTTTTTATCTACAAAGGAAACCTGTCCAATAAGATCAATGGCTTTTGCGACCCCACACAATCTTCCCCTCTCACCATCCCTGCGTAATAGACTTGGAATCATACTGTCTGAATCAATATCAGTTGATAATACAGTTCTATCTGAGGTTTCAAGATCTGCAGTCATCAGATCAACAACTAACAAACTGCCACCAACCAATACACATGTCACTATGTTGGCTACAGCCTTCATCAATACCTCGTTTAGGCCCTGTGCAGCTTCAACGACTGTCTCTTCGAGCAAAGCAGGCTTTGAAAGTGAGCTGGCATCGGCCTCAACATTTGCTGCGCCTTCCGGATTATCTGGTGGTCGTCCCGTGGGTTGAATATCATCATCCTTCATTTCCATAAACGTGTAATGAATGCCATAGATAGCAGAGAATGTGGTACTGGTAATCAACTCTTTAGAACATTTACCATTAGAACTAACAAACTGCCACCAACCAATACGCATGTCACTATGTTGGCTACAGCCTTCATCAATACCTCGTTTAGGCCCTGTGCAGCTTCAACAACTGTCTCTTCGAGCAAAGCAGGCTTTGAAAGTGAGCTGGCATCGGCCTCAACATTTGCTGCGCCTTCCGGATTATCTGGTGGTCATCCCGTGGGTTGAATATCATCATCCTTCATTTCCATAAACGTGTAATGAATGCCATAGATAGCAGAGAATGTGGTACTGGTAATCAACTCTTTAGAACATTTACCATTAGGAACTCCAGGAGCAGCTTGCCCCGACTTCAGAGAAACAGTTGTAAGTTTGAATGTACCAATTCCTGTCCCGGCTAGGAAGGATTGTGATTGATACATTAAAGGATAGAGCCCAGTTGGAAAGACAAAAACATCAGGCCCCGTAGTCATCACAGCCTGATCTGATTTCCACGCCAGTGCTTGAATCCTCCTTCCCTGAGTTTTATCTGTGACTTTTCCCTGCTCCTCCAGTTTCCTTGACAGCTGATCCTTCACTTTACCCGCATGAATTCCATTTTCATCCACCTCAGGGGGTTTCGTACCTTCATGATGATTTGGATCATCATCTGGATTTGGTTCCTTGATTACAGCTTCAATTGACTTCAACTCGATATTCGTTATCGAATGTGTAGTCTCCAACAATCTAATTCCAGGATCAGTAATGTAAATGGCTCTCGAAGAAGAAGAAATTTTCGCAGGGGGATAAACCTCTTGGGACAAAACTTGCGCAGGGAGATAACTGCCTGGCGACAAGATTTGCGAAGAATAAAATTCTCTCGGTAGCGTCGCTTTCTGACGCGAGTGGATAGCAGATGGAAACGTCTTCGGACTGAGATGCGAACCGGAAATAACCTCTCGCGATGACGATCTATGAGGAACAAGTTTCGATAGAGAACTGGAAGAAGTTTCTGGCGATTGAGAAGAAAACTGCTCAGTTAGCGACAATCTGGAAGAATTTGTTCGCATCTGCGAACTGTGAGACGACGAGGATTGAGAAGACCTCTGCGGACGACTGTGAGAAACGGATCGCGATGATGAACTTTTGGAAACTGCTATCGACGAAGATTGCGAACTGCAAGAAGTTGTTGACGTCCGCGATTGCCTTCTAGTCTGGAGTTGTTCGTTCATCGCTGCTAGCCGTCTGGCGATATTATCCAGCGTTGACTTCATCTCCTGTTGATTTCGCTCTAGCGATTCCATTCGCTTTTCCATTCTTCCTCTCGTTCTAACCATTCACGATTCGAAAAGAGAAATTTCTGGAATCAATGTAACTCCTCCGATCAATGCTACAGTCATCAGTAGCGTAATGCTCTGATACCAATGTTAGAACACTGAAAATCCGATCAAGAAATTATCAAGAAATAAGATCAATAGAAAGTTTATTGATGTAGAAGAAGAGTATGGAACGTATACAAAGCCCAGGACAATTCGAGATGCCCAATCTCCCAGCCTATTCTCAACAGAATATTTGCCTACCTATCCTTTCCCCCCTTCCTTACTATTTATAGTACTTCTATTTCTATTACAAGCCCACTTATTATTATCTACAATAATAGGCCCATTCCTATCAATATGAACCAAACTAAAATGTATAAACATGTATTTTTACTGCTTAAACTGAACTTTTGATTCTCATGCTTTACTTTCATTAACTAAGAAAGATGTTTTTTTCACTTCTTGCAATTAAAATATCTAGGAATAAAACCAATGATAATTTATGGGCAGGAGTCAGAGGCATACAAACTCTTGATATGACCAATTCCTTTATTTTAAAAAATTGCAGTATGCTGTGCATTACACTAAAACTGCACTTTTACTACTTAGCATTTTCAAATCATAGCCCAAAGAGAAAGAAAATTGCACTTTTGACATCAAAGCCACCTGGTGGGATAATGGGGGTTCACATTTAGGTTGAATATCAAAAGGTTGTTCTTTACTCATATCGTATCTAAAAAAAGTCCACTATGTAATATACAAAAAATCGCACAACTTAATTATAATCGTAATTGTTAATATACGATCCTCAACAGTAATGTTCTGAAATCATAGCCCAAATTGAAAGAAATAAATTGTTTTTTAACACTATCCACATGATACCCATTTTCTTAGACTTATGAACCGCTAGAGTACCAATTTATTATTTGCTATAAAAACTCAATCAGATATGTCAAAATAGAGGAGGTCCAATCTGCCATTGATCATACTGGAAAATAGGGGAAAAAATGCATTGTGTATTATACTAACTATTCAAAAACAGAGCTCTCTAAATCTGACAAAAAGAACATGTAAATCTAAAAGAAAAACACTGCCTCTAAATCTAACCATGTATTATACTAACAAAACTGCATTTTCACTATTAATAGTCTTAGTGTTCAGAAACTATAGTCCAAAAAGAACGGAAGAAATTGCATTTCAATCGTATCCAGAAAAGGATAAACGACACTTGACCGATAGACAAAAAAACAGGTGTCCAAATACACAAAATAATCTCTTTCTGAACAAACTTTGATAAATTTGTTTTCTTAATGCAGTTTTCCTCTCACAACAAAAAAGTTATAAGGAAATCAGCCTCCTGATTTGTAGACCTCTAAAATAATGAGGTAAAATTTCTTGAGTGGATCTGCTGAAGTAATAGCAAGCATAACCAGCTAACTAGAAAAATCTTTTAACTTTTAATAAAATTGAAAGAGGTTTTTAAAAAAACTGACACGGCCTTAACCATTTTGCAATGTTAACCGTTTATTTTTCATTTCTATATGCAAGCACTTAAGAATAAGTTCACCTAAAAGACTAATAATAATATTCAATTTCTAAACCTCACATAACACATTTTTTACATGGGGTCCTTGCCATAGTTCAGTCTCTGATGAAAACGCACAAGATTAAATCAACAGGTGTAATCTAAAATCATGGAAATCTAAATAATGTGGCAATAAATATAAACATTACTACTGTCATTTCTTTGCAAAAGATCCATAAATTTTTGACGTAGGGACATGTCATAGTTTCAGTAGCTCACATGAGAGATCATACTACTAAACTAACTACCGGTTGAAATGCATGAACACATTGTCGAAGTTTTCAGAGTGTAAGTCTATAAGGAAATATATTAACTTTTTGTTTAGCAAATATAAAGAAAACATACATGATTTCCCCTGATTTTGTTGAAACTTTTGCTAAATTTTTGGATCATTTACTTTGGGAGTGAATTCAATCCTACTTGATATTCTACCAAAACCAACGCAATAGAAAAGTATGGAAACTAAATAAATTAAAAGCATCAACAAATGTGAGTCCAGAATCACCAAATGATCATATCGGAAAACATGGAAACCATACTCATGGCATATGGAAGGGAACGTACACAACCCAATAGATATTTATAGCAACATGCAAGCACACACGATTAAATCAATATGTCTAATCTGAGATAATGGAAAGCTAAGTAATGTGCAATAAAGATAGGCACTACTACTGTCATCTCTTTACCAAAAGGTCCATTTGTAACATCACCAAAAAGTTAAACTTAAGGGATGTCATTCTCCTGGTTTGTAAGGTTTTAAAATAATGAATTAATGAGTTGAAATAATATGCCCTTATAATCTAATCCAAAAGCAAGAAAAAATTAGCAATAGTTTTTTAAGTTTTAAAGTTCTCAAAAGGAGCCATATGCCAGACTTTACAACCGATGATGGAAGCATTTGTAGCCATCAGAAATTTGATGGATTCTGATATAACTGAAAGTCTAAATCTAGGGTTTTAGATGAAACTTCAAATAAAATTTCAGCTGATAGAAATGCAATGTCATAAATAAATGTAAAGAGTTGAAATTGGGGGAGAATACTAACCAATAATGAAAAGACTGGTTGAGATTAGCTCTTCCAGCAGAGTAGAAGTTGAAATCAATGAACTCGACAAATCCAAAACCCTCACCTCACAAATAGAAGAGAGTTGTGCCATAGGAAGTCAAAATACGTTTGGCATTGCAGAAAGAAGAGGAGGCTTCTTATCTCCCGATCGAGTAGGAAGGAGCCCGTGCGAGGTAAAGAATAGATCCGATGCATTAACTCGTTCTTCAAGTGGGCAGACCTAATCAAGTTACGTAAACAGGCGGAGTATGCAGAGTTACAAAAGTACGCTTAAGTATTAGCGGAAAATAGACTTAGTTGAGTTAATAATCTATAGATTTTATGCATGAGAGGGGGGCAGTGTAGGTTAGAATTGGGATACTAGTATAAATTAGAATACTAGTTTAAGAAAATCTATATATGTGTACTTTCAAAATTGGGATGTAAGAAACAAACTTTCTGTTGTACAAGACCTGTTTATGAATAAGTCATCAAGGTAATTACAGAAACTGTCGTTCTAAACTCCTCTGGAGTGTCTGTCTTACTCAAATTGCTAAATAAACTACTGTAGTATTCCCAGGGTCATATATAATTAATAAGCCAGTGTAACAAAAACAACAAGAATGCGACATACTAGCTTCCACTAACGATGCTTATTCGGAGGGGCATAGGAAGTCAGACAATGTCTTCCTGGATATGGGGATATATTCAGCATCACATGTTTGGTCAGCTCCATGTCCTTTTATCCTAATGCACATTTATCAAACATGCACAATCCCCTTGCACCACAGCATTTCGACTTTCTAATCAGTTGAAGCATAAATAACTTGTTACTTCCCTCTTAAACTCGTGCTCCTACGCTTCTGGTTCAGCGCAACTCGCCTTGCCATAGCTGGGTTGTAAAAGTTCTTCATATGTTCTGAGAGTTTATGTATAGCTTGGAGATTACCAATTGCAGAAAGTTGCATTAAAAATGTGTCAAATTTCTGATAAGGAAGTTTGATTCCCCGAAACATCACTTCTTCCAACAGCAAACATGCATCTTCAGTATTATTGCTACTAAAGAGACCTTCAATCATCACACAATATGTCTCTGTATCCCGTGTGCAGCCGATATTATCCATCTCATGCCATGTCTCAAATGCACCATCAACATCCCTTAGCTTGAAAAACATCACAATTAGCATGTTGAATGTTTGTACACTAGGAGCACAGCCTACTTCAATCATTTTACGATAAAGTCTAACTGATTCATCTCTGTCGCTATTGTGACACAGGACCTTGAGGAAACAATTGAAAGTAACAATATCAGGAGGATACCCTTGGCTTCCCATCTCTTCCAGGAGTTTGTAAGCAACCTCAATCTTTCCAACCAAATACATACCTTCAATCAGATCCTTGTATGTAGAAACATCAGGAAGGCACCCACTGCGTATCATATCCCCAAGAACACTATAACATTCTTCAACTCTATCATTTTGGACAAGAGCCACAATCATAATGGCATAAGTTTTTGCCGTTGGACTAGACATGGTTGATCCATGCAACTTCATAAATTCCAGTAGCTTAGAAGCCTCTATAACCATGCCTACTTTGCAAAAACTATCAATTGCGGTATTGTAGGTGAAATTATCAGGTGTATGCCCCACATTTATCATGTCCTCAAGAATAGCCATACCTCTAGTTGGATTTCTAACTCTACACCATCCAAAAAACAAAATGTTATATGTATCTGCATTTGGGTTTAGCTTGTTCTTTACTCTTTTAAACATGGCTTCAGCATCCTCAACAAGAGTGCACTTACATAGAGCATCCATCAGTAAATTGAAGGCATGGGTTTCAGGTTGTGTCTTCACCCTTATTCTCTTCTTCCGTGCAAATTTGTGAAGATGAGTCAAATGTTTTTCAGTATATTGCCTCAAAATTGTTAACAACACCTCAATAGGAACAGAGCGTTTACTGTTCCTCTTCATGTAGTCCAGCAGATCACAAACAATTCGAAACTGTTTGACCTTGTACTTTGTACTCGACAATGCATCAATCATCTCATTATATGCCTGAGGCTCATGACTATAACTTTCTTGCTTTCCTGCCCATGTGAAGAACCTAAATGCTACTTTCTCCTCATATCGAAGCTTGTTCAGGACGTCTACCACCAGAGGAGTACTCAGTTCTATACCTAGATTATCAAGGGCTCTCTCCATTTTATGATCAGGATTCGAGTAATCAACAATAGTCTGGTAGACCTTATCAGCAGCCTCATTGGCACCGCAATGAATAGGTACATTCTCCATCCCAACAGTACCTGTGGCATAACTACGAGAATAAATCCCGTCAAATAAATTCAACTGCAACAAAGATTGCACAACAAAACTTGGCCCTTTCTTTGGAAAACTAATTCCGCTCACTGCAAGGATGCCCAATACTTCTGCACCCCTAGAAAAATACCTATGATGGACAAAGCATGAAAGTTGAAGGGGTTGAATCATTAATTGATCAGTGCACCACATTTTAACAATGTTGCTCTTGCAAGCACATGATACTACTTTGAGCTTCATCATCAAAACAGGGGGAAAGGACTAGATAAACACCACGAAGCAATTTTTCCAACCCATAGGCCTTTTCCAAAGTCAATTCAAGCTTGAGCACTTTTTTCCTGTGATTCCAAGCAGCTTTCTTGTGCAAATCTAACAAAAGAGTAATGTGTGTTACTAACATTGCACTTTAAATTCAATACTGCAAAGAATACGTGTAATGAATAAATGTGATTCAAACATGATTAAAGTCATCTTCAAGTGTTTGATAGCACACGCAAGATCTGAAGTTAGTATATTTTCACATTGTAAAGCTAATGTCCAAATTATATTAAGAAATAAAAGCACTAGATATGCAGTTATCATTAAGGTGTATTAAGAAGATTCCTGGTTTTATAATACCATTGCTATCCATCCTATGCCCATTGTTTCTCTACATAACACAGTATCATTCTTTTGGAAAAATCATGTTAGAAGTTGAAAGCCCTATGATCAAAAGTAGTTTTCTTATTTGACATGATATAATAATCTTAGTATAAAATCTCAAATATTCTACTAAAGCATCTCTGGTCACAATTTGACAAAACCAATAACAGCACGCGCTCATAATCAAATCTCCAGTTCACCACCCAAGACCAGAAAACCCACCATCTGTCGTAGCCGCAAAAGATAGGAGATGGAATACCAAGAAAAGCACATTAAAAAGTATAGAAGAAAGAAGCGGGAATTAAGATTTTTTTCCGTTGAGAGAAGTTGAGAGCTCTTTCTCTCGCAAACCATTCGCGGTTTGTTTCTTCCCCAACGGAAATCACTCGTTTCTTCCCCAACGGAAATCACTCGTTTCTTCACCAAATCTTCACGTTGAGCTTGGATATTTGTTTCATTACTCCACTCGGTTGCAATCTACCAAAAATTTGAGCTCTTTTGATGGTGTTTTGAGTTCTTAGCTCAAAACCAGCCGCGGTTACACTATTCACGAAAAAAGGTCAACGGCCTTTCCTCCCAAACTACTTGTTCGATTTCAGTTTTGAGCATGGATATAGCTTCCCCTGGTTGAGGAGATCAAGCATATCTACTTTGTTTCATCATCAAGGACGTCCGTACAATCAGGTACTATTCATCCGAGGCTCCATTGGTACGGATATCAAGCTCCAAACAAAGCTACACCTTCGTGAATTCAATTAGGAGGGGTTGCTATCCTTAGCTTCCCCTTCCATGTGAAAAGAGGACTTGGGTTCAAAGATGCCGAAGCCTAAGTCTACGGCCAAGAAAAAGAAAACTCCATCAAAAGCTTCTACTCGATTGAAAGCCAAAGCTCAATTGAAGGAGCAAGAACAAACTCCGAAGCCTATGAACCAAGAAGGTGAAAAGAAGGTGGAGGAATCTACCATAGCTATGGAGGCCGAGGGATCTCAAAATAGCTCTACTCAACAGCCACTAAATGATGACAATATTGAGGTAACCTCTTCTCATGCACAAAATTTAAGCAAGGTTATGGAAAGTGAAGATGTGGCTACTCCAAGGGTTCCCATTGATGAGCCTCTTAGTTGAAACTATTGTGAATATGATGGATGAACCTATTATTGGGACTATGGATGGGGCTGATCATGTAGTTCGGGTAAATGTTGAAAGTATTGTGAATGTGATTGATGAACCTATTAGTGTGACTACGGATGTGCCTCTTGTTGAAAATGTTGTCAATAATAGTGATGTACTTGCCATTATTAATGAGGAACCAGCTGTTGGGGAACTTGTTATTGATAACTTGGTGGATTTGAAAAAGAAGGTTGTGGTTGTTAATGAGGAACCAACCGAGGTCACCACCGAAGACATAAATGGGGTATATGCCGCGGCATTGGGCAAAACTATTGTCCATGGCCAAACTCAGCCGAGGAAGGCTTTTGCTTCGCTTTTCAAAGATAATAGGCAGCCGGACAAAGGCATGAAATTGAGATACATTGAGCCTAAAGGGGATGTTATTGACCTCACAAACCGAAAACTTTCTACCATGATTGAATTATGGGGACATTGCTTGGTGGCCTACTTTGATGGAAGGTTTCCCGGACTCAAGTCTATTCAAACTATGGTGCAAAAATGGGCTGTCCCTTGTCGACTTAGATCTCATGACAAAGGATGGGTGATATTTAGATTTCAAAATGCACAAGATAGGGAGAAGGTTCTTATGGAGGGGCCCTACTCCTTCTTTGGAAAACCCATCAATTTGAAAGTGCTATCAGAAGATTTCTCCATGGATGGAGATGAATTTTTAAAGGTCCCTATTTGGGTGCATTTTCCTCACCTTCCAATGAGAATTTGGGAAGAGGATATCATTAGCGAGGTGGCTTCTAAGGTGGGTATCCCTATGACTACGGATAGAGTTACACTTGAGAAGGTTAGATCTAATTTTGCAAGAGTATTGATTGAGGTGGATGCATCAAAACCACCCCCTCTTGAGATTCCAATCCTAATGCCGAATGGGAGATTACACACACAATATGTAAGGTATGAAACATATCCAAACTATTGCTTCCATTGTAAGAAATTTGGACATCATGCCTTTACATGTAAGGTGCTAGCCGAGATTGAAAAGGACAAAGAAAAGAAAGCTAAAGGGAAAGAGATAGATAAAGAGGATTGTTTGATTGGAGAGAGTACTTCCAACAAAACAACAAATGCCACGGCATTGGGAAAAAAGCAAGGGCTGGCCGAGGGAACTATAGAAGAGAACAAAGGAGAGACTTCACACAAGAATGAGCAAGTTGTTCACCCTTTTCTTAAAAAAAGAAGGATGAACAAGATTGACCAAAGAAATAAAAGCATCAAACAAGCTAAAGCCAAGGCAAAGGAGGCATCCGGGTATGTCACTCAATCTAGTGAAGAAGAGGAAGAAGGGGTAATCAAAGGCTTTGACAACATCTTTAATGATGAGGTGATTGTTGAAATGGAGACGGAGGAGGCACGTGAGCCAAAGTATGAGGTCAAGCATAGAGATGAAGTGGAGGAACCCTTGATCCGAATAGATCATCTTTTAAGGGAGGTAAAAGAAAATGAACCGGGGGTATGGTTTACCAAAAAGTGCTTTGAAGGGCTGTCCGGAGTGAGAAAGAAAAAGAAAGGATATGCATTTGAGGACATCTCCATGACTTGTGTCTATAGACACTATCTTGATAGGTACTATGAAGATGGGCACTTAGTAGGGAATGGAAGCAAAGTAAAGGACTTGAGGAAGTTCAAGGGAAAGAGGAATCGAGTGGTGCATGATATCCGAGAGGCATACATGGATGATGTGATTACCAAGGTTGAATATGATAAGGAGAATAATGTGAGCATCCATCTCATGCATGCCGAAGATGTAAAGGAGCAAATGACAAGGCTTGACAACTATCTATCCATAGATTGGAACAACACAAGAAGAGGAATCATTTTCACCGCTTCATGCCTTCAAAATCTCCCAGGAGTCAAAAGCATAGAGGACGGGTATGAATTCTCTCCCTACTTTATGACAACCATTTATCAACTTTTTCTTGATAGGTACAATGGATGTGAAGAATACCGAGAATGGAAGCAAAGGGAAAGGGAGAAAGTGAGGGCTAACCGAAGGAGGGGGGCCTCGGTCAAAAAATAATTTTTATGTTTTTAGCCTCTTGGAATGTTAGAGGGCTTAATCAAGCCTCAAAACAAAACACCATAGCTAATTTTGTAAAGATAAATAAGGTACGCATCTTTTGCTTATTAGACACTAAAATGTCTACTACAAGTTGATAAGCAACACATTCATATGAAATTCATTTGTATATGCTTTGTATACAGTCATACAAAGGAGGGATTTGTGGGAACACATATCTGCCCTTAGCTCTAATATACTTGCCCCGTGGGTAGTTTTGGGGGATTTTAACTGTGTTGGGTCACCGAATGAGAGGAGGATTCTGCCCCTCCATTGGCTTATGCAATGAAGCATTTGAATGATATGAAAATGGATTCTAGTCTCATAGATGCTCCCTCAACCGGTGAATTCTTTACTTGGCATAGGGGGGCAATTTGGGCTAAATTGGATAGAGTACTTATTAATTCTTTTTGAAGTTTGCATAATGTAACATGTAAGGCTCATTTACTCGAAATGGAATGTGAGTTTGATCATGTGGCTTCTCTTGTAAACATTGGGGCCGTGAGTAATGGAGGGTCAAAACCCTTCAAGTTCTTTAATATGTCGCTAAAGCATGATCATTTCCATGATATTTTGGAAAGTGTTTGGAATAGGAATGTTGTTGGAACAGCCCAGTTTAGGCTTGCCCGAAAACTGAAGCTACTAAAACAACCTCTTAAACAACTCAATAGGGAGGAATTTAACTGCATATCGGCTATGGCAAAGGAATCTAAAAAGGAATACAAGAGAATCTATCAATTAGCCCTCTTGTCTCCTAGGGATGATGACTTAAGAGAAGAGATGGATAATGATAAAAAGGGCACTTTTTTGAAAGAAGTCGAGGAAGCCTACTTAAAACAAAAGGCTAAGGCTGTCCATATTTTACAATCGGGTAAGTGTACTAAATATTTTCATTCTATTGTGAAGAAGAAAAATGCTCAAAACTCTATTGCCTCCATTAGATTAGAAGATGGAAGTCTTACTAGATCAATGGATCATGTGGCAAATGAGTTCATAGCTTTTTTCAAAGAATTATTTGATACTTAGGTGCCTATGGAAGGTTATGACCCCGGGGTCATTCAATCTAGAAAAATATTAGATCAAACACTTGTTGGTGACCTTACTAGTCCTGTGACTGATTTGGAAATCAAACAAGCCTTGTTTGATATTGGTGATGACAAAGCCCCAGGCCCAGATGGTTTCTCATCGGCCTTTTTCAAAACTAATTGGAATAGGGTTGGTGATGATGTTTGTAATGCTATGAGGGAGTTTTTTTAAACTGGGACTATGCTTAAACAGGTTAACCATACTGTGGTGGCACTCATCCCAAAGACAAATCACTCCCCCACTGTTTCGGATCTTAGGCCTATATCTTGTACCAATGTGACATATAAAATCATTACTAAGATCCTTTCTAGCAGACTTGGGCCTCTTCATTCCAGTGTTATAAATCCTTCACAAGGAGCTTTTGTTGATGGAAGATTGATGTCTGACAACATCTTCCTGGCACAAGAGTTAGTGAGGGGTTACACTAGGAAAAGACCCTCTCCTCGTTGCATGATTAAGGTTGATATTAGAAAGGCTTATGATACTGTTTCTTGGGACTTTTTGAATAAGATTTTGTCTGATATAGGTCTTCCTGTCTTGTTTGTTAGGTGGATCATGGAGTGTGTCTCCACATCATCCTTCTCCATATCCATCAATGGTTCTCTCCATGGATGGTTTGAGGGGAAAAGAGGATTAAGACAGGGTGACCCAATGTCCCCCTTGTTATTTGTCATTTGCTTAGAATACTTTTCAAGGTTGATAGAAGCTAGGATTTTGGATCCTAGTTTCCGTTACCACCCTTTATGTTCTAAGCTCAAAATCACACACTTAGCATTTGCGGATGACCTGATGTTTTTTTCCAAAGGTAACTACTCCTCTATTAAGATATTAGTGGATGCTTTGACTGACTATGGGAAGACCTCGGGCCTTATGGTTAATCAAGACAAATCTAATATCTTTTTGGGGGTAATATTGAGAGTAGGGTTCCTTATATCTTGCAAAGAGTTGGGTTTCAACAAAGATCCTTTCCTGTTAGCCATTTACCTTGCACAGTATCGTGATATGAACTATTAAGACCTACAAATTGCACTTCTTGAGGAATTACTTGAATGTGATTGGTTGTTAGTTTAGTATTGAACTATTAATTAATACTCCATAACATCAATTTGGGAACATACTCTATCCTTTTGATTTTTATTTTTGAATGAATTGATTATTGGCCAAGTATTTCTAACATCAGTTAGGGCCATTTTCTTTCTATGATTGATTTTAGTGGTTCTTAACTGAATATTTCTTTTTTTTTTCTTAACTGAATATTTCTATAGCAATCACAACACATCGTCTTTCTCCTTAGATGAAAGACCTTGGAATTGCTTATTTAATTATCGGCTTAGTATTGTCGTTCAGTTTTTTATTAGTTCTGTCCGATTATTCTATGTGTAAATTGAACTAACAAATTTTTATTAGTTTTGTCTTGATGTTATATATTTTAGATATCATTGTATATATTACCAGAGTATTTCAATTATAGATGCTAGATTAGCACACTCGTTATTTATTTATTTACTAGGTTGCTAATAAATAGTAAATACATTGGAAATGGCCGTTTCTCTATCTCATCAAGTCTTCTATACTACCTTCATAGTAATTTTATTCTCATTGCAGGCGCTAGGAAAAAGAACATGAAGATGATAATAATAATAATGAAAGTATGAACGTGAAAAATGAAGGGAAAAGTGTTAAACTGGAGGAACTGTGTGTTGTGAATTTCTGATGCATAAGAAAATAAGAAATCATGTGAAGCAAAGTCAAACAATATATTCGATAAATGTAAAACTTTAAATAATAGATTGAGTTATATATTTGTTGTGATGCTTTTATATGTTATTCTTGTTGCATCTTGTTGCATTTTATTGCATCATAAATGTTGGGGTAATTCTATTCACAGCCCCCAAATTACTATTCACAGTCAATTAATTAATTAAATAAAAATAAGCCAATATCTAAATTATCCTTTACCCTTACGAGCAACTGGAAGGGGAACGAACTGGTAGTTGCTACCTTGTATCGCAGATTAATTAATTATTTCCGAGCGTGGATGTCTAAGGAAGCTGAACCCCTCTCTCTGATCTCAGCATAAGAAGAAAAATCTGAGGGAACAATGGTTCCTCACTCAATAGCAGCAGAAAAGAGGAAAGAGTCAAAGAACAACCTGAGTTACTACCTTCAGACTCCACGTTCCAAGAGAGCAGCACCAGCTCCAACATCAAAGGCTGAGAAACTGTGCCCCGGGTCGAATAGACAGCTCCACACCGTCTGAAACTCCGACAAAGTGGATCCCTCTGAAACTCTGATCGGCGGCTTAAGAAAACAGAAAATTGGAAGACAAGCGTATAGCCGTATAGGTGCACGGGGAAATAGGGAACTAAAGAATTGTAGGGGCGAATTGGCCGATTTGGAGTCCTCCGGAGAAGTGGTGAACCCAGACCGGCGTGAGCGTCAGCAAAGCTTTACTAGCTCGTCACCTTCACAGCTTGTCGTCTGTGCAGAGCTTTGGTCCTTATTCTTTTATCAAGGATAATTTAGGTATTTGATTTAATTTTTATTTAATTTTATTTAAATAGGTGAGTGTGAATAACAATTTGAAGCTGTGAATAGAATTACCCTAAATGTTGCTTTTTTTGCATTATGCTGCATTATGTTGCTTTTAGTTATTTATAGGTGATTTTGATTTTTCATTGTTTATTTAGATCTAAGTTTATCTTTGTTATTACTTTTTTAAAGTAAAAAAATCATATGCATATTTATATTCAATCACCTAAAATGATAAATTTGTGTTTATGAATATAAATCAACCACAAGAAACAAAAAAGAAACAAAGAAAACAAAGAGGTATCGATAAAAGGAAACAAAAAGAAACAGTACGCAACAAAAAACAACAAAATTATATATTAAGTATTCTTTTTGTAACAATTTACCAAAGTGAATTACAAGTTTCATTTTTTCTTTTACTTTTTCAATTGTTCAAATACATTTTTTTATTTTCCATATTTTTTAGTTATATATTTTCATGCCTTTTGGTTTAATTAAATTTTATGCTTTTTTATTTTGTTGAAGAATTTTATTTTCTACTTCTATTTTTTTTTATAGCATTTAATTAATTTGTTTTTAACTTTTTCAAAGTTATACTTCATTTATTGGATTCAGACCTTTTTATTTTTTTTATATCCGTTTCTAAATGAATAACTATTTCATAAAAGTTTCTTATTGCCTTTTATAATTCTTAATATTTTTCAAAAACATTTTTATAATTTGTTATTATTTTTTAAGATTTTTGATATTTATAATTTTATTTATTTTTATTTTTTCACAAAATGTTTTTAAATTTCCTTTTTTTATTTATATATATTTATTTTAATTTTATAAAAATTTTATTATTATTTCAATTATTTATATTTTTTACTGTTTTACACGTACTTTTTATACAAAATAAGGGGCATATGAAGTCTTCAAAAAAATTAACATTTATAAATGTTTCATTTATATATATATATATATATATATATATATATATATATATAGTATTGTTTATACATACTTTGTATGCAAAATATGGGGCATATGAAATTTTCTAAAAAATTAACATTGTAAAAGAATGTTATTTTTATTCAATTTTTCCTCTTTACTATTTTACACCTTTTTCATTTTTAGTTTTGAATTTCAAAATTTTCTATACATTTCTTAACATTTTTCTGATTTATTTTGCTAATATAAATTATGTTTTTTAATCTAACTTGCTTGTGTTCAACTTTGAGTTTTTACTACGCATTATTTTATTTTAGTATTGATTTGATTATTTTGTTATTTCTAAAATATTATCTTATTTTTAACACTTATAATATTTTCTAGTTATTTTCATCTTTTTACACTTTACTAAATATTTAGTGTTTTCTATTCAAAAATATGAATTGGATAATTCCTGGGGTTTGTAAAAATCGGAGTTTGTAGAAATTTAGCTACGATGGTGTATAGAGTGGGAGCCATCCATGCACGCTCCCATGGACCATGTACTCCAGTGGTTCAGTTCAACGTATGATCTATTTTTGAAAAGAAAAAATTAATTGGTTTATTTTTGAAACAAAAATTTAAAAATGAAAAAAACGATATTACTTTTAGTTTTTAGTCTATTTGTGTAAAACTCCCAAAATATAAGATGAAAAGCCCTTCCAAGCCCGGGCGTGCATTTGTGCACCTTTGTGCTTCTTGGATTATTGCGTATTATTTACGCTTGAGGCATATCACTGCGCATGGAGAACATTAAGGCGCTGACCATGTTCAGCACCTTGCGTGGTGCGCTTAAGCACAGAGCACATGTGGGTGATTTTAGTGTCATCACCCGTTTTGTGTAATTGGAAATGAAATTAATGCCAATGAGGATTAGAATTGTGTTCTAATACAAGCTAGGAGGTGTGGAGTGCACACTTGTTTATAAGAACGAGTTCTATTCCAAAGTGTCTACGGTAGTGGAACTCGAGGTAGAACACTCAGTAGACCAACTATGTGGTTCTAGACCAAGGTCTAGAGCGATTGGGCAGTTTCGTGCAGTTTTCCAAAAACTACCATGGTTATTCTCAAACGTATTGCAACTGCCTGGGACGTGTAATATGGATATATATCACCATATTTCGTACAGAGAATGAAGAGAGAAGATATACAACATACCTTTATCACTTTTGGCATTCAAATTAAGAGAGCAATTCATATACTCACTAGTTTGGCTTTAGTTCTTGTGCCTAAGGTCAGAGTATCCTTAAGGATTATCCTAGATTGAATTTCTTGTAACACAGACATAGGAGAGAAATATCAATTCGGAAAGTGAACTTACACGATCCTTAAGCAATCCAAGTACTCGATTATCACCCCCTATACACACAAACCCCAACAATCGAATCGATATTCCTTTGTGATAATCATGAGTACCGTGCAAGAGTTGACAACCAAGTTCAGCAAACTGGACAAGTTTCAAGGGAATTATTTCCTTAGATGGCAAAAGAATATGCACTTCCTTCTCACCACTTTGAAGGTCGTGTACATGTTGAGCACTCCGATGCCGGAAGTGATGGAGGATGAAACCTTGGAACAAACTAGGAAGCGTAACAAGTGGGAGAACGATGACTACATATGTAGAGGCCACATTCTTAACGGTATGTCCGATGCGTTATTTGATATTTACCAAAACGTTGAGAAGGATATTTGACGGTAACATATATATCCACATTCTTAATGGTAACAAGTGCGAAGGAATTGTGGAATTCTCTTGAGTCAAAATACATCGCCGAAGATGCTTCTAGTAAGAAGTTCTTGGTGAGTGATTTTAATAATTATAAAATGGTTGGATCAAGGTCGGTTATGGAACAATACAATGAACTCCTTCGTGTTCTTGGTCAATTTAAACTCCACAAGATAGGTATTGATGAATCATATGTCGTGTCGAGTATATTTGACAAACTTCCACCCTCTTGGAAGGATTTTAAACGTAATTTAAAACATCAAGATGAGGAATTGTTATTGGTTCAACTTAGGGGTCACTTTCACATTGAGGAGTCTCTTCGTGCGCAAGAGAATGACCAAATTATGGGTGAAGTTGAATCTGGACAGCCTCGTGTTCACTTAGTTGAGGATAAAAAATCTAACCCGAACAATAAGGGGAAAGGTAAAAGGCGCAAATATGAAGACCATAACAAAACTAACAAGAAACCGAAAGGTTTGGTTTGTTGAATATGTCAAAAGGTTGGGCATGTCAAGCGTGATTGTCGTGTAAAACTGAACAAGAATGGCGCTGGAACGAGTGGCAGTGGACAAGAACGGTCTATGGACCTGGTTCCACGAAAAGGAGGTCAATTCTTGACTAACTTTGATAATTCTGTCCAGAATTATGTATCACTCATTCTGGAATCTTTTTATGTACACGATGATGATTGTGCATGGTGGATTGACTCGGGGGCTACGAGCCATGTGTGTAAGGATAAAGGATGGTTTGATGACCTAGAACTAGTAGAGGTCGGTTCCTTCTTACGCATGGGAGATGAGTCAATGGCGCCAATCTTGGGAAAGGGTGTAGTTGTTTTAGAATTTACTTCTGGAAAAACAATTATGTTGTTTGATGTTTTGTATGTACCGAAGGTTCGAAAGAATCTTGTTTCGGGAAGTATGTTGAAGAATTTAGGATTCAAACAAGTGATTGAATCTGATGAATATATTCTGTCCAAGGGTGGTGTGTTTGTTAGTTTTGGATATTTATCAAATCGCATGTTTCGTTTAAATGTTGTGAATAAATTAATTTCTAGTGATAATTCTGTTTTTGTGACATCTTCCATTAATGATTGTATGATTTGGCATGCTAGATTAGCTCACGTTAATTTTAGAAAATGCATGAAATTTCTAAAGATGGTTTAATCCCGACTTTTGATATTAATAATGATAAGTGTAGGACTTGCATGCTTACTAAGATCACAAAACAACTGTTTCTTAATGTTGAAAGGAATTCGACTATTTTGGATCTTGTACATAGTGATCTATGTGACTTTCACTCAACTCCTTCCCTTGACAATAAAAAGTATGTTATTACTTTTATTGAGGATTCAACTCAGTTTTGTTATGTGTATTTATTACACACTAAGGATGAAGCTTTAGAGAAATGTAAAGTGTATAAAACCGAGGTTGAATTGCAATTGGGTAATCTGATTAAATGTCTTAGGACTGATCAGGGAGGAGAATATATGGATCCCCTTTATTTTCAATATGTTGGAATCATTCATGAGACCACGGCTCTGTATACACCACAACAAAATGGTGTGGCTGAATGAAAAAATCAAGTGTTAAAGGAAATGGTTAATTCCATGATTTCCTACTCGGGTTTGAGTGAAGGGTTTTGGGAGAGGCCATGCTCAGGCCTGCTATGTTCTAAATAGGGTTCTAAATAAACGGAACAAGACACTCCCATATGAGCTTTTGTATAAAAAAGCGCCAAATTTGAAATATTTTCGGGTATGGGGTTGTAGGGCGGTTGTAAAATTGCCGGAGCCCAAAAGGAAAACTTTGGGAGAAAGGGAAATTGATTGCATATTCAAAGGGTATGCTGAAAATTCCAAAGCTTATAGGTTTTATGTAATAGAACCTAACAATGCGACAGCGGTTAACACCGTGATTGAGTCTCGGGATGTGATCTTTGATGAGATGAGGTTTTCATCAATTCAAAGACCTAAGGACTTAGTTCCGAGCACTAGTAAGGTGGAAGTTCCAGAATGTTTGGATGGTGTCTCGGATCACGAAACACCACAAATTAGAAAAAGAAAAAGAGGTCGCATCGTGAAAGACTTTGGTCCCGATTTTCACTTGTATTTAGTGGAAGGTTCAAGGGACGAAGTGTGGGTACAATACTCATATTGTTACCCCAAGTTGAGGATGATCCAAAGTCCTTTAAAGAGGCAATGGAGTCCCGAGATATTGCCTTTTGGAAGGAGGCGATTGATGATGAAATGTCATCAATTATGGAGAACAACATTTGGGTGTTGTCG